GTAAGTGAAAGCCAGTTTTCTTGCTTCAGTTTTATTTTGCAGTGGTTGTTGGAAGTACTTACAAAGAGATGTTGGATCATTTTTTGTTTAAATCTGCACAGATCTTAGGTCTGGCCATTTCTGTTTGAATCTCTTAATTTGCATGGATCAAAAACATATTTTCAAAGTGCTGGTCAGGGTTGTGTTTTCAATTCTTTTTCTGCTGGATTTCTGCCCATTTTATGGCTTGTTTAGAAACTTTCCATTATTCAGTTATGAGCATGACAGGAATATCATTTATATTTATCAGTTGTCTAGACCTTAAAGAATGGGGACTCCTTCCCTGTCAGAATACATTGATCAGTGCTACAGCCGATTGGCTGCAGTGCCGATCGAACAAAAAATTTCCAACAAGCCTGTTCAAGAGAAGCTGATCATTAAAGCGGAATAGGAACGGGCATAGATGGCTTGAAAATTGGCTGATCCCTGCTGAAACGGTTGCATTTCAATCAATCTATGGTCAGTTTTAAGTGCTAACCATGAAAGTCTATTGGTTTCAGCAGTCTTGGTTATTTGCTGCACAGTGGTGTGTGGTGGACTTCATTCACTTGAGGGCCTACAGTTAGACGTCATGCCTGCAGGATATACAAGGCACAGAGCAGGCTGGGCTGTTTCTGTCAATGAGACTTGTATCCTGTATTGTGGACTAATGTAATAATATAGAATATGTAGGAGAAGGATATTGTATACAATTTTATTAGGTAATGTTTGGAGTATTTCTTAAATGCCATATAATATGCCTGCCCCCATTCTCTATTGGGATTGCCTTATATTGCAATGTTTGTGCAATGTGTGGTATTATAAAGGTGTGACCCCCCGTTCTTTTGCAGTAAGTACCAGGGAGCACAATGCAGTATATATCTCTGGGAGTCTATCTAGTTCAAGGCACTTCAGATTTGTTATGACACATATGGGGGTTATTTACTAAAACTGTGTGAGTGCAAAATCTGGAATCTGGTGCAACTCTGCATAGAAACCAATTAGCTTCCAGGTTTTATTGCCAAAGCATAAAGTGTTACTAAACCCCGGACCCTGCATTCACTATATCTGGTCTCCCACAGTATACACAACATGGAAATGACAGGTTGCAGGCAGCAGGGCTGCACTAAAGCTCTGGTATTACCCGCACAGCAACTAGATGCCCCATGTCCAATGGGCCTTACTGCATGTTACTTCAAAGTCTATATAAGAGTCTAGTTGAGCTTATTGTAGCAATCATTAAAGGGTGACTCCACTTTTGTGAGAAAAAATAGAAAATTAAAAAAAAATAATATAGTGCATACAATTGCGACACAAGTCATATTGTAACTTGTTTTTTTAAAAATACCTTTCCTTTTCAATCTGCAGTGCTGTCATTTTCTGTAAAATGCAATATAGCATCCTGGAGGTGTTCTGTACACATAATGTGTACAGAACACCCCCCAGAAACATCATTTCCTGCTTGTGTGATTGGCTCATTGATTTTCCCAGAAGTCTGCACAAAAGCTGGCCATACAGGGTATACAATTTTTTTTATTCAATTTCCTTTAGATTTACCTTCAACTATGTAGCAAGGGCCTGCCTGATTGCATGGAAGGAAAGTGTATAATGTATGGCCAGCCTAAGATACAAATTAGATTTCAGGCATCCCCTGTAACAAAAATTACATTTTTGGTGAGAAACCTCCAAAGCTCAGTCCCGTCTGCAGGTGCAGCAGCTGATTGATAATTATAAAAAAACCGCTCCCATACTGATTCCCTGTGCACATGGACACAGACAAACAAACAGCTTTTTTATTCAGAATAACAAAAGGTAGGACTCTGCAACAAGTTTGTTAAAATCCCTGCAATGTACATAGATCACCCAGAGGGGAATGTTTTTTTTCTCACCAAAAGTGGAGTTACTCTTTAAAGGATAAGTTCACCTTTCATAACAGGTTACATGTTACACCCATATTCAGGGAGTAATATTTATCATGTTTTGAAAGAACCCGTCCCTACTTCCCTGCTTTGATAGCTAGCAGGCATCTTTCCCCCCTGCTAGCTGTCAATTGTTTTTTTTTTAAAAAAGCAGTCGTGCAGGGCTCTGCCCACACAGCCACGTCACTCATCTACATTCCTCTGTAAATGAGAAAACTACAAGTCCTGACAGCCTTAGCAGCTGTCAACTTGTAGTTCTCAATGAACTACCATGGCGCTGTGAGTGCTCTGGTAGTTCATTAAGTCTTCCTGTCAGAGTATATCAGCTTGCTCGTATGGGATGTATGAGCAAGCAGATATACTTACAGGTCTGCAGGAGACCTGCATGGCACCAGCAATCTACTTATCGCTGGTAAAATGCTTTACAGTCTCCTGCAACAAAAAATAATAAATGCTAATTTTTTTTACCTGCAAAAAAAAATGTGCATTTATTATTTTTTGTCAAAAGGTGAACTTACCCATTAAAGCACACTTTAAGCCCCAAGAAAAGATATACAATCAGGTAGACATGTAATAGTCTCTTTCATTTTCTTAATCCTACCTCCTTGGCTGTCTGTTGGGACACTTGTGCTAAGTGGTTTGGCTGTTATGGCAGCATAGAGCACTGGAGTGTAAGCACTGGAAACAGAATTTGCCCTGGTAGGAAAGAGTATTTTAAAGTTGAACTGAATTCAAAAATTGATAGCTTGCTGTGTTATAGAGAACATCGTAAAGTGTTAATTGTGCCTAAGCAGTACCCTGAAAAATGTACATTTTGTCTATTGGTCCTCCTGCATATTGCATTTTCAGGCACGTGGCAGTACCTATCCATGTAGGTCCCTACAGTCTCATTGTGATTCGAAAGCTCTGCTGTCTCTGACTGCTGGTCGCAGATATTTGGTATTGTCACTAATGTGCCTCTCACTGTTCTCCTTGTTTGAAGGATCTGACATTAGGAAGTAAAGTTCTGCCAGTATCAAGATGGCTGCTTCCACACAGACATGGGCAGAACAACAGCTTATCTGGCATTTGGAATAATCCTCAGACTAATTACCCTTTAGGATCCCTCAAGTTTTATCAGTCCGGTACAAACTTTGTTCAACAAAACCAAACCCTTATTAAGGGGGCCCTTTGAACCCCCCAAAACACGTAATATTTTTAAGACATAACAGCCTGAACAAAATGGAATCTGTACTTTTGCACTTTCTGGTGTCCAGCTTTACTGTAGTCTGGTGGCTAGCCTTTTGCCTGACCTTTTTGGCTTATTTTTCAGAGTTCATTTCCTCTTTAAAGCGAAACTTCACCCAAAAAGGGGAAGTTCCACTTGTTTGCCTCCCCCTCTTTAACATTTGGCACTTGTCTTTAAGGGGGTTAGTGAGAATCTGGTTTTGAGTGGAAGTTCACCTCCCCTTTGCCCACAGCCTTCTGGGACACATCACAGGACCCAGAAGACTGTGAGACCATTCACAAAGTTCAGCACGGCTCACACATGTGCAGGCCTCAAGGCTTCACAGCCAGTCTCTGTAGTTAAGATGCAAGCGCCTGGACCCAAAACCCATTGAAAAGTTGGCTCGGGTGAGAACAGCGCTGGATCCCTGGATAGGTAAGTGTCCTTGTATTAAAAGTCAGCAGCTACCATGTTTGTAGCTGCTGACTTTTAGTTTTTTGTGGGGAAGACTGAAACTCCTCTTTAGGGCATTTCTTAAAGAGGCACAAGTCATATCTTGCAGGACTATAAAGAGATAAAAAGGAGAGTTCAGTTGAGCTATCAACACCGCATGCTGGTCGCATTTCATGATATTCAGATGGCAAATAGTGGGATCATGTCTGCCTACAATAATAAAAATACTGAGCAGCAAGCACATAGAAATACACTATATTGCCAAAAGTATTTGGATGCCTGCCTTTGCACGCACATGAACTTTAATGGCATCCCAGTCTTAGTCCGTAGGGTTTAATGTTGAGTTGGCCCAACCTTTTTCAGCTATAACAGCTTCAACTCTTCTGGGAAGGCTGTCCACAAGGTATAGGAGTGTGTCTATGGGAATGTTTGACCATTCTTCCAGAAGCGCATTTGTGGGCTCAGGCACTGATGTCAGACGAGAAAGCCAGGCTCGCTGTCTGTGCTCTAATTCATCCCAAAGGTGTTCTATCGGGTTGAGGTCAGGACTCTGTGCAGGCCAGTCAAGTTCCTCCACACCAAACCCACTTATCTATGTCTTTATGGACCTTGCTTTGTGCACTAGTACGCAGTCATGTTGGAACAGGAAGGGGCCATCCCCAAACTGTTCCCACATAGTTGGGAGCATGACATTGTCCAAAATGTCTTAGTATGCTGATGCCTTATGAGTTCCCTTCACTGGAACTGGGGCCAAGCCCAACCCCACACTGTAATCCCCCCTCCACTAAACTTTATACTTGTCATAATAAAGTCAGGCAAGTACCGTTCTCCTGGCAACCGCCAAACCCAGACACGTCCATCGGATTGCCAGACAGAAGCATAATTCATAACTCCAGAGAACACATCTCCACTGCTCTAGAGTCCAGTGGTGGTGTGCTTTACATCACTGCATCCGACACTTTGCATTGTACTTGGTGATGTAAGGCTTGTTGGATGCAGCTGCTTGGCCATCGAAACCCATTCCATGAAGCTCTCTATGCACTGTTGTTGTGCTAATCTGAACACCACACAAAGTTTGGTCTGCAGACAGTTGGCGACTTCTGTGCACTGTGTACTTCAGCATGTGCTGAACCTGCTCTGTCATTTTACGTGGCCTACCACTTCGTGGTTGAGTTGCTGTTTTTGCAAGTTGCTTCCACTTTGTTATAATACCACTAACAGTTGACTGTGGAATATTTAGTAGCAAGGAAATTTCACAGATGGACTTATTGCACAGGTGGCAAACTATCACGATTTCACACTTGAATTCGCTGAGCTCCTGAGAGCAACCCATTCTTTCAAATGCAAATGTTTGTAGAAGCAGTCTCCATGCCTAGGTGCTTGATTGTATACACCTTTTGGTC